ACTTTTCCTAATGCTTAAATTCCTTTTTTTAATTTTATTTTTAATTTATGGAATAAATCAAACATTTTCATAACATAGTATAATTTTTAAAAAGATGATTGCACATGAAACTGCACATCTGTTATATACAGCTTACTCTTCCTTTTAAATACATAATAAAGTTATTGTATTAGGTTTTTTTTTTCCTTTTTCCTTTCCTCCCCTCATCCTGCTGTGTTATCCCAGAACACAAAGCGGTAAAGGGTGGAGGGTTGGGGGGAGAGTAATAGCCGTAAGTCTATCAAAGGATGCACCAAGTTTCCTATATCAGTGTTTAATCCTCTTTTCTTAGAGGCAGCTAGGTATTATTGTGAATACATAGAGAGCTGGACCTGGAGTCACGAAGACTTGACTTTAAATCCAGTCTCAGACACTTACTTATAAGCTTTGTGACCCTGGGCAAGTCACTTAACTTCTGTCTGCCTCAGTTTTCCCAACTGCAAAATTGGAATACTAATTTGCAGAGCATTTAGCACAGTGCCTGGCACACAATAGGTACTTAATAAACTTCCCTCTCTGGAAAAAACTTATTTAATTCAATTGGGTTTGTTGGGTTGGGTTTGGTTTTTTTTTTTTCATTTTAGTCAAGCTGTACTACTGAAGATTTTCCACAGTGAGTCAAGGTTTCATAAATGAAAGACAAAACTATTGTTGCCTCATTCATCATGAGCACTGTGCTGATTGGGTAAAGACATCAGGCATCAGCTACTTGATGCCTTTGCTCAGTGTCTCTGGGGCCCAGTCTGGCAAAGAGAGGCTTCCCCATAGGTATTCTTAGCATAATGGAGGCCTAAAGTAGGCTCAGGAGCTCTATTGAAGGGTAGGTTTTATGTCATCTCACTCCCTACAGTTCAATAGATCTGGACCCAAAGCACAACCTTGCTTAGCACCATTCATAATGGCAAAACAAATATGACAAGATGCAATCAATACTGATTTGACCTGCCATCACAACTTGTAGTTATCTTAAAAGGTTGATGTCCTTTTCTGGAGGGCACACTAATGAAGAATTTTCCAGAGAGCACATCTGTTGACTATATCAATAAAGATAAAAGGTGTGCCCCAAATGCTCCCCAAGATAATGGGGCTGAAATGCTCCCAAAGATAATGAGTCATGAAGATCATGTCTGCAGCGCTTTGTATGTTTTTCTCTGAAAGCAGGCTGCATATCAGTGAAGTACAAAGTGGGAATCAGGTTCAGTGTACAACACTATGCTATAGGCTTGCTCTGGATATAGATCCCAATGGATATGTTGCTATCTAATTGCTTCATGGATGAAAAAAAGCAGAGGAGAGGAAAAGAAGTGTGGAGGACATTACAACTTCCCAGATAACTTTGTGCCAATACTCACTTCCAAAAAAACAAAATTTTATTGAGTTTGGCAAGCCAAGGATCAGAAAGATTGTAGGAAGATAGAAATAAACTTTTGGTCCATTTAGGATGAGAGAAGAGAAAGACAGTTTCCTCCTGTAGCTCAACCAATGTGCAAAGCATCAGCTGATAAATATTGAGCACTTTTTAATTACTAAGGAAAGATTTTTTTAAACATGTAGCTTAAACCAGGGAAAATCACAGATACAGCAAAAGGCAGATTGACCTCTAAGTTGAATGAATCAATACAGATGTAGGTGGGCTAAGTTATGAGGTACCTAGTTCCTGATCTGATCTAGAACATGCCTGGAAATAAAGCTTCCACCATGCAAACTGTCACAAATACCAAGCATTCTTGGCAGAAGAAAATTCTCAACCTTACCTATGGTCAACATCAGTGAAAGAAAATGAAAGTGCTGCTTTTACTAATCAATCAATCAATAAGCATTTATTAAGTACCTATTAGTGCTAAGCACTATGCTAGAAACAAATGACAGTAATCTTAGTTCTCAGGGAGTTTACACTCTGTCAGTGAAAACAACATATACACATAAAAGTATATGTGAAATACGTGTGAAATAAATACAATTATCCCTTCCACATCACAACTTTCTCCATCACCATTTTGATATATCTCGGGTGAGCATAAGAAATTAAGTGGGAATTTGGGGGGAGTTTTGCAGAAGCCACAGACAACGTGTGAAGGCCAACATACAACACAGAAAAAGTTTAGAAACTCAAAAATGCATAAAATATATGTATATATTTTATCTTTTATCTTATATTTAATATTTTACCTTTTAACACCGTAGCAATTCAGACTTCTCTGGTACAAAAGGAGGACCAAAAATTTCATGCAAATTTTGGGGTGCCATACCCCTAACTCCTGCAATGTAGAAGGGATAACTGTACAAGGTAACTTAGGAGTGGAGAGATTAGCAACTGGGGACATCAAGAAACACTTTACAAAGAAGCCAATGGTTGTGAGCTGAGCTTGAAAGGAAACTGAGGATTTTAAAAGTTGGAGATGAGGAGGGATTGCATTCCAGGCATGGAGTAACATGTAGGAAGAGCATAAACACCAAACTCAGATTAAATGCAGTGACCAAACTTGGCCCCAGAGAATAAACAATGTCCCTCCTCTTGGTTAAGAGCTGAGAGACTACGGGAGTAGAATGTTGCATGTACTACCCTACATGCTCATCTTATCTGTTGGTTTTTCTTAAATTAATTTTCTTAAATTTCTTCATTCTTAACTGAATTTTCAGTATTACAGAGAGTACATTAGGGGCGAGATACATTTGGAAATGACTATGATGCATACAAAGTCATCAACAAAATATCCAAAAATAAATGCAAAAAGACTTGTCCCTGACAATCGGATATTGGACCAAGTTCTCACTGCACCCTGCAGGACATAAGCAATGTGCTCTTCTAGTCAGGGAGAAGAAAACTCACCCTTCCCTTGTAGAGTCTCCTTTCTTCCCAAGTTTGGCCAAGGCCCAAGTCCTCGACAGAAGCCAGCCTTCTAGCCTACCTGTGCTGCTTTAAAAGTAGCAGAGGAGAGTGAATGCTGGGAAAATGGGATTTAACCTAAGGGAACTCTCAGGCTGCTTTATCTAAGGGTTATGAGGCTGTATATAGCTTCTTTGAGTACCTTGTGGTCATGGTAGGCATTAAGGTAGAGTATCTCTCAACTAAAGCATAAAAAGAAGGTGAAGAAGAGAAGTTCTCATATATAAACATACAGAAGGGCATCCTGGTTGTCACTCTCTCAGTTTACAAAATCCCACTCTCTCATACTACAGAGAGAATTGAATTGACATGGAAGAGACCACACAGTACTCCCTTTCTACCTTTCCCATCTTTTTACACATTACTGCCCTCCACACACTCTTCATTCAATAAACAAACATTTATTAAGCACCTGCTATATACCAGGCATTATGCTAAGTTCTGGGGAATACAAAAAGTGGCAAAAAACAGTCCCTGCTCTCAAGGTGCCTACAATCTAATACAGGAGACAACATGCAAACAAATTTATACAAAGCAAGATATATATACAGGATAAATAGGAAGTAATTTTGAGACAGAAGGCAATCTAGCCATAGCCTAGATACTGTTGTGAATATACAATGCTCCAGGTCCTCCCTTTGTGTCTTTATATTGATTGGCTAACTCCAATGCCTAGAATGTTCTTTATCCTGATCTCAGCCTCTTTGAACCCTGGTATTCCTCAAGATTCAACTCAAGCACCACATGAAGTCTTCCCCCAATTCCTTGTGCACACCTTCCTCAAAATTACCTCATATTTATTTCATAGATATTCTACGTATGTGTATATGTGTTTTGTCCCTGATAGAATATAAGCTCTTTGAGAATAAAGATAGCTTCACTTTTCTCTTTGTGATCCAAGTGCTTAGCATAGTGCCTAGTAGATAATGCCTAATAAATACTTGTCAATGGGAATTAATTGAATCCCTTTAGCAGAGTGGGTAAAATACATAGGATACCCTGAGCATGGCTCTGAATATATAATTTCTTATAACTGATTTTTCAAGATGAGAGTCAGTATTTTTAAGCTTGTTCTGTGATAACCAGGCTAAGACATGAGAAACAATGACAAACTATGAAATCTGATGTTTTTACCATGATCAGGTCATGCAATGTATCCTTATGGTTATTATAATGAGCTACAGAAGTCCACAAAAAAAGATTAATCTCTTTTGCAGAAAAAGTATAATGGATTAGGGCATTTTTTCAAAGACATCAATTTTATACATGCATATAGATAGAGATAGAGATAGAGATAGAGATAGAGATAGAGATAGAGATAGAGATAGAGATAGAGATAGAGATAGAGATAGAGATAGAGATAGATAGATAGATATAGATATAGATATAGATATAGATATAGATATAGATATAGATAGAGATAGAGATAGAGATAGAGATAGAGATAGAGATAGAGATAGAGATAGAGATATAGATAGAGATATAGATATAGATATAGATAATTTTCCCCAATTACATGTTGAAGCAATTTTAACATTTTTTTTAGTTTTAAATTCCAAATTCTATCCTTCCCTCTCTCTCCTCCCTTCCCCCCTGAGACAGTAAGCAGTCAGATACAGGTTAGATATATGCAATCATGTAAAACATTTCCATATTAGAAAGACATCAATTCTAAAACTTCTAATGGATAGAACCTGAAAATTAGCTCTGATATTTATAACGAATCTCTAGGCTTAACTCAAGGACTGTGTTATAGACCTTTCTCACTCTGAACCCACCCATCTATGACAATCTTGCAGCGGCATGGATGAATGTTTGTTCACTTAAATATTCTTTATTTGAAGATACTTTCTAAGATCAAAAATTACATTTTAAGAGAAGGGCAAGTATGTGCATTACTCCTTTTCTCAAAGAGGCATTCTATTGTCACAGAAAATTAAAACCCTGTAATCAAGGGAGCCAACCAGACACATAAGAAAATGATTTAGTAGAAAAGTAACTTTGCCTCCCAAACACAGTTCCTAAATTTCCTCGTACATACTTAAGTTGCACGTTCTGCTTGTTTTGTTTTTAGATCACATTGACAACGATTGGCTACGGAGATAAAACTCCCCTAACTTGGCTCGGAAGATTGCTTTCTGCAGGGTTTGCCCTCCTTGGCATTTCTTTCTTTGCGCTACCCGCTGTGAGTATCTTTGCAAAAATCAAGCAGACAAAACTAGCCTTTAAGGAAATGTTATGTTGATCTTTCCATAGTTTAATCTATTTATCCAAATTACTTGCCAAAAGGAATATTTCTTTGGCATACTGTTTTATGATGGAATACTACGGTGCTATAAGAAATGATGAGCTCAATGATTTTAGAAAAACATGGAAAGACTTGCACAAAATAATGGAGTGAAATGAGCAGAACCAAGAGAACATTGTGTGCTGTAACAGCAGTATTTTTTTAAGAACGAGTTTGAGTGAATAAATTATTTTGTCTATCATAAATACCCAAATTAACTATAAAGGACATATGAAGAAAGAAGCTATCCTCATCCAAAGAACTGATAAATAGAAGTATATAAAGAATAATTTTACATATATATACATACATATTATATATGTATACATGTAATTATATATACCTATTATAAAATATATAATAATTATATATACCTATCTAATGGTAGGCAAATGGGGGAGAAGAAAAAAAGAAATTTACATGATAATTTTGTTGAATATTTGAAAGAAATAGCAAGTTGTGCATAGTAGATTTGCAGTTCCAGGTGCAATCATCTTTTTATTGTGCTGTGTTATAGAAATGCTTGTTTTATTCCATAAATTCAAAATAAAATTTTTCTAAATAGATAGGTAGATAGATATCCTGGACCTTGATGCGAACGGCTTAGAATTATTTCCACTTCCACTAACTTTTTAAGTGCCTACTGAATAGGAATCACTGCATAGAATGTTAGAGAAGATACAAAGATTAAATGGCACTAACAGTCTCGTTAGGGTTACTTTGTTATCAACCAGTGTTTTTCATACTATTTAGTTGTTTGTCTATGAGCAAACAGTCATTCAGACATAGTCTAATATCAATTATTCATATCCACAAATTTTAAACCTGTACAGATATTCAAAGTTATGGGCTCCATGTGGAACACACTAGCTTAAGTTTGGTCTATGATTTTAGCTTCCCTGCTATGAGTGTAAGTTTGAGTTCGCATACATTGGATATTTATGTCTCTAGATTCGCAGGCACTAAAACAGTATGACCTTTAAGTGTTTAAAGTATTAGACATTTTCTTCTTTATGTCATAGCCATCAATTTTCTTAATGCATAGCCTCTGCGTTTTGTCAGCAGGTAGACAAGCATATACATTTTCTGTTTCTTTCGTACATTTCTGTTTAGCTCTCTTATAGAGGCTAAAACAGTGATCATCATTCTGCTCTCTGGTTACCTAAAGATACTTAGTAAAACTATGCCTCTTTTTGCCCTGCTCCCCATCCATTTCTTCCTTTCCCCTTCTCTCTCTCCCGGCACTTCCTTCCCTCCTCCAATCAGCATTGAGAGGGATAAGCTGGCAACACTGAGTGAACATCATCAAGCATCATCAGTGAGGGCTCATGTGAAGAAAAGTGTCCCTTCTGTCCACACTCAGATGTAATAGTACCGATCCCAGATTGCTCAGAGGTCCCACTTCACAGCACAGCACAAAAATCGACATGGAGAGTGGCTAGGGGACAGAAAGGTTTTGAGGAAGCAAAATATATCGTTTTGCTCCTACCCAGGGCTTTCCTTTTGTTCCGATAGTGTCTGTGAAAGGAGCCTGGTCACTGTGACACAGCCTAAACATCACTGTGGAACAGCCATTAGTTTCTGTCTTACGCTTCTGCATAATCATGGGCAAAAGGCGGAATGTGAAAAATAAAGGGAGTCTTTTCTTCTGCATCTGGAAAAAAACCCCAATATTTCCCATTTCAAAGTAGAAGGTTAATGTGAAAACTATTGCATTAAATAAGTATTTTGTTAAGTTCTTGCTTGATCAGAATATTGTACCATGCATTTGGGGAGGGGGATAGCAGAAGAAGAGGTGAGTTTTTCCCTAATGAAGATCAAAGTCTAGGCTCTGAGCTAGGTGGCTCAGTGGATAGAGCACTGGACCTGACAGACCTGGAGTCAGGAAGACCTAATTTCCAGTCCAGCTTCAGACACTTATTAGTTGTGTCCCTGGGTAAGTCAGTTAACCTCTGCTATCTCAGTTCCCTCATCTATAAAATGGGACTAATACCACCTACATCTCAGAATTGTTGAGAGGATAATATGAGATGACATTTGTAAAGCAATTTGAAAACCTTAAAGTGCTATGTATATGCTAGCAGCAATAGTAATGGTTAATAGTAGCAGTAGTAGTGATGGTGGTGGTGGTGGTGGTGGTGGTGGTGGTAGTAGTAGAAGCAACTGAAGCAAGTTATGGCACTCACAAAAATCACCATAATATACATGCTAAGTTCATGCAAAAGGTACAAAATCAATTGAAATATGAAGGAAGGTTTCAATCCCATTCACCACACATATCCAATCTATTGTTAGATCTTGTTGCTTCTATCTTCTAACAAATCTTCTTGTCTCAAGTTTTCTCCTCTCAGCTGTCAAATGATTTTTCTCAAGTGTAGTTCTGACCATGTTACCCACTCCTACTCAGTAAACCCCAGTGGCTTCCCTATTACTTCCAGGATCAGAAATAGTCTTTTGTTTAGCATTTAAAGCTCTCATAATATGGTCCCTAAGCACTTTTCTAATCTTCTTATGGCTTATTCCCCTCTATTCACTCTACAATCTACAATCTATCTATTTCCCTTCTGTTTGCCTTTGCACTGTCTCCCATTCTTGGAATATTCTTCCTCCTCCCCTCTAATTTCTGGTTTCTCTGACTTTCTTCAAGTCTCAACACAAGTCTCAACATCTGTAGGAAGCCATTCCTGGTCCCCCCTGAGCTGATAGTGCTTTCCCTTCTTAGATTACTTTCCATTTACATAGCTTGTGTGTACTAAGTTACTTACATGTAGTCTTCCCCATTCAAATGTAAGCTCCTTGAGGACAGGGGCTGTTTTTGCCTTTCTTTGTATCCTCAGTGCACAACACAGTTCTGGGAACACAATAAGTACTTAATAAATGCTTTTCGACTGACAAAAGACCATTCTAAACATTTGATTTATTTAGTTATAACATATATTTATGTTACATTATGTTATATAATATGTTATATTTATGACCACTTCATTTATTCAGAGGTCATTTTGCCCATCAGCCTCAACTCTTTGGCATATCTCAAGAATCAGAAAATAAATTTAAAAATAATCTTGACTGTCTTTTCTTTTAAGTCAGTTATCTTAAACATATTATAAATATATAAAATATATCTTTTTTTAATGCTCCTAACTCAATAATAGCACAAGATAATAATATAGAATATATTCTTCCTCTAGGTATAGACTCATCTATACCTAATTACCTAATCTAAGTATAAGTCGAAATTCTGAGGTCACCTATCCACTATCCTTAACTATCTGGAACATGGCTAAAAAACAAGTAAGTGGGAAAAAGGGCCTCTGAGCACCCAAAATAGATATCATAGGGGCAGCTAGGTGGCACAGTGGATTCAGGAGGACCTGGGTTCAAATCTGGCCTCAGACACATAACACTTACTAGCTGTGTGACCCTGGGCAAGTCACTTAACCCCATTGCCTAACCCCCCCCAAAAAAAATAGATATCATAAAACCTTCATATGTGTCTTATTCATAACAGAAGTCTTTAGGTCCTCAATCAGGGCCTATTTGCTTTTATTCTACAAAATTCTAATAATTCACTGATATTTTCATCTATAGACTATTAAAAGATGCAGATTAAAAGAGGAAAGAGGTTGCTAAAGATAGACACACTGAAAACAGAAAGTGACAGCTAAAAACCTGACAGCAAGGAAGGGGGCCAAAAGACCCCTATAAAAATAAATGTGAGAGGGGGAGTTAGGTGGCAGAATGGATAGAGCACCGGCTCTGGAGTCAGGAGGACCTGAGTTCAAATCCACACTCAGATACATAACACTCACTAGCTGTGTGACCCTGGGCAAGTCACTTAACCCCAAATGCCTCACCCAAAAAAAATAATAAATAAATAAATGTAGCAATCTGGACCTTTCGGGGTAGAAACAAATAGTCCTACATAACTTAATACTTCCTAACAAAGATACTGCATAATCAGGAAATAATTAAATTATGTTCAGGGTGATCATCATGAGTTCCAAAAAATAAAAATAAAGTGATATTTTGGGATAAAAGTCTTTTAAGAATATAGTACCTTTTAAGTATATAGTACGTTTGAGAAAGAGTTTCATCCAAAATAACTAATTTGTTTTATTTGATCTGGACCTGAGATTGTCATAGGTGTAAGAAATACTAATCTTTAAATGATAGCCTTTGAAAGTAGACTGGGAATGGAGAGGTTAAATTACTTGCCAAGAGCCATACAGTCAGTGTATGTTAGTTAGAACTTGAACCCAGGTCTTCCTGACTTCAGGACCAGTCCCCTATTTACAATGTCATTCTACTTCTCTATTTACTTCTTTTTAATTGGCATTTGATGAGTTAAACTTTAGCTATATGGAAAATTCATTTGTGTGTAACTCTCTTTTCCCCAACAATTCAAGAGCAAGGAGGTGTTACTATGAGCAGCATAAATGTACAATATAGTGCTCAATATACTTTTATCGAATGAATGAACAAATGAAAGGATGTAATCAAGCACCTTTTTTAGAAAACCAAAATAGCTAGAAATGTCACTAGAGCCTCTGTATCCTTTGAATTGTAAAGCTTTGCTAAAGATTGGAGGCATGTGCTGACATTTTTAATACATTTTAGAATGGATCTCTTGGCTTCTCACTACTGATTTTCCTTTCCCTTAAGCTGGAGAAGTCACTGCCTACATACCCTTCTGGGCATATTTTGCCCCATTTCTCACATCTCCACTCCTTCTTCCCTCCCAACACTCCTCAATGAAATGGAGTACCCTTTAAAATAACCAGTTCTTACTGTGAAATAAACAGAGAAGAATAAGGTTCAGGATGGGAAACTGTTGAATCTTCCCTACATCCCCAGGTATGCTGGAGCCAGTCAATTGCTAAATTTTCATTGTGAGCATTTATACCTTGGAAATTGGTGAATACTACAAATCCAAGCTTGATTTACTGTCTTGTTGATTGTCTAGAACCAGGGTCTAGCACAACCCTACTACCTGTTTTTGTACAGTCTAGGAGCTAAGAATGGTTTTTTTACATTTTTAAATTAAAAAAAAAAAGCAGGCAATTGGGCAAATTTGACCCTGAGGTCCTTGGCAAATTTGAGAAAGTGACAATGACAACGATGATGACAACAACGATGAAGAAGAAGAGAAGGAACAGATTACATGTTTGTTATTATGTGACATGCACTGTGCTTAACACCTTACAAATATTGCCCCATTTTATCCTCATAACAACCCTATGGTGCTATTCTAATTCTCATTTTACAGAAATTAAGTGACTTGCCTAGGATCACATAGCTAGTAAGCATGTAAGGCTGGATTTAAACTCAGATCTTTCTGACTTTAGGTTCAACCTTCTATCCACTGTGCCACCTAGACGTTGTTAATAATGCACTTAAAAGTATGTTATGCATACATTGTTCCCCAAGCTGGTTATGAAACATTTACCAGTCTGCCTACATCCATGCTAAATGTTTACCCAAAAATTATACATATCCCTCTCTTTAATATTGAAGGAATGCTTTTCATCAGAGTGCTTATACACTCTGGCATCCGTACTGTTTAAGTACAAAAATATAAAGCAAAGCTAGGAAATATAATCCTACTATTGCCTGTCCCAGTCCATTCCTTTGAGTTTCATTCAAGAAGCCCATGAAACTTGGAAGGTTGATAAACTAGGGGGAGCAAGGTCATGAAAGGGACAATGATATACTAGCTGTAAACATTACACTGCATTAAATCAATACGTAGCCACATGGTGAGATGGATGGAGCAGGGCCCTTGGAACCCGGAAGATCTTGGTTCAAACCCTGCCTTGGAAACTTAATAGCTGCATGATCCTGAGCCAGTCACCTCATTTCACCTCTCTCAGCATCAGCATCCTCACGTGTAAAATGAGGAATAATGATAGCACCTACCTCACAGTGTTTTCGTGAGGATCTTACAAAATAATATATTTAAAGCACTTTGTAAATCTTCAAGTGCTAAATAAATGCTATCTCTCTTTATCATTGTTATTAATATTAATAGTCCACAATAGTCCTCATTTTAACAGGCTTCTGTCTGAGGGTTCTGTACTAAGTAAAACAAGAAGACAGGAAGAAAAAAACTGGAATAATGCCATGATAAGACAATGAACAGGCTGGTTTAATAATTGGCATGATTTATATAGTCTGATGAGAGAGAGACTTAACAAGCACTACCATAGCCTAATTCATTATTCTTGAATAAGGTCAATAGGATTTTCAACCAATGCCCAGCAAATACAGCTTTGTTCATATGATACTTGCTGGATAGGTGCCATGCTGAGTTTCTTTTCTTTTTCCATTGGTCACAGTCTCAATCCAAAATTCCAAGTACAAAAGACATAAAGTTTTGAGTGTTCAAGAAATAATCTAAGCCATGACAGGTGCCATATTGGAAAGGGGTCTTTTTGTTGTTGTTTTAAGCCCATATCTAAGATCAAAAGATCACTTTTGTGTATACATAGATATCCTTTTGCTTTTTTTATTTAAAAAAGTGTTTTCTTCCTAGACTTAATATTGCAATTCTATTATCATATTTTGGTATATAGCTCTTATTTTTATTAATACATATGAAATGAAAGAAAGATTATTATAAGGAAGGTCAATCTAATGGACATCTTATAAGACAGTATGGTGTTTAGGGGGAGCAGAGGAAACATTAGACATAGAGTAAGAAGACCAGAATTGAAATCCTATTTCTACCACTTAAAAGTTGTGCAACCCTGGGTAGGTCACATAAATTCCTAGCCTCGGTTTCCTCATCTATTAAAAAATGGGAATAATAATACTTGCATTTCCTACTTCACATGGTTATTGTGAGAAAAGTAGTTGTAAACCATAAAGCCCTATGTAAATGGGAGCCTTCATTATGTTCATTTGCATTGGGCTTTACAGTGAAATCTGGGCATCATAGTGGACCATCATCGGACTCTGACTCAGGAATCCACTGCTACTATCATAAAAACCAAAGACAGATAAAGAGATAGGACTTAAATGGATAAACAAAATCATTGTATTGGCTGGAATCCAACTAAACTTGAATGAATGGAGTAAATAAATTCCAAAAAGAGAGCCACTAAAAAGAAGTAGAAAACAAGGATTGTGACAATTTCCATTTTCAATATATACATTTCAGCTATTCCAACTCAAAGAGATAGTAAACAAGGATTGTGACAATTTCCATTTTCAATATATACATTTCAGCTATTCCAACTCAAAGAGATAGTAATTGCTTATTAAGAGTAAATTATACTGTAATAGTCCACCGCTCCAAAAGTGCGACTGAATTACTCATTGTTTAGTGATTGGCAGTAACATACTTTCAGCTGCCAAAAAGAAAAAGAAAAAAAGAAAGAAAAAAAACAAAAATCCAAATATCCATTCTTTACTTTGGCAAGTTTGGTGTCATAACTATAAGATAGTAACAAAATGAGAGACTCTTTCTGTGTTAATATAAGTCTAATTACTATATACCCAAAAAGTAAAACGCATAGGCTCAAAAGGAATACATCTTTGAATTTCATAACCATTAACTTGACAAAGTTAATAAGAAATTTGACAAAAACAAAGAAATGCAATCTTAGCAAGACTGGGAGCTAAGATAATGCTGGAACCAGGAGCTAACTGATATCCCTAACATGCAGAAAGTTTGATATTTAAACAGAAAACAAAGCTATGCAAAACACGTTATTGGAGGAATCTACTATCCCGGAAGTCTCCTGTGGTCTTAATTATCTGGTCCCATGTGGCCAGTAAGAAAAGTGAGAGCAAGACTGTAGAGATTTAGGAGTATTCCATTGATGACCAGGATCCTATAAGAGAGCTCAATCAAGAAGAGGCAAGATCTGAAATACAAATAGATCTGGGTTCCCAAATAAATGAAATATCTAGAAGGGCAAAGCTATGGGTCTATAGTTAGGAATACATTTGAAAGACATAGAAATAGTGTAGTTAAACCCTGCTGAAAGCCTTATTGAGAAGTTCCAAGCAGCAGGAAAGCCAGATAAGAAAACCAAAGCAGAGAAAATGGCTAAGAACTTAGTATGAGAATATCATAGAGATAGCAATAGCCCTAGACCGGTGATTCATTGATATTAAAAAACTCCCCAATGAGGAAATTATTTCATCTAATGCAAGTTGGCACCATTGCTGCAAGGTATAATGTAAGCTGCCTAGAACTTTACCAGGTTAAATGATATGTCTAGGGTATTACAGTCAGTAAATGTCAGAGGCAGGTCTTGAATGAACCCAAGTTCTCCTGGATTTAAGATTGAAGCTAGCCATTATGCAACACCGCTTCTCAGAAAGGGTCACAGGACAACGAAATAACTCGTTTCATCCATTGTCAAGTAGGGGACCAGTTTTGTGATCCTCCCAAACAAATTAGTTAAGCAGAAGTAGAACAGCAAGAAATGCTGAGCATTTATCTCAAAAGGCATTTAAGTGCCTACAGCATGGAAGGCACTATAAACAGCATTTTTGTTTTAAAAACACAAAAGAAAAAAGAAAAAATAGACACCTGAGTGAGATGATCAGAATCCCCCACCTCTTCAGGTAATTCATATGTTTATGTCTATAATGGCAGCCCATTGAGTTACTGTGATTCTGACTTTAAAAATCCTTATGTGTCCTCAATATCAGGATAATTTTTGTTTTGTCAAAGTGGCCTGATGACAATTTGAAAATTAACACGGGTTTTGCAAAGAGCTGCAATACTTGTGTATGAGCAGCAAGCAAACTTTAACTGTTCTCTTAATATAAACCTGTAGCCATCAGGAGCATCACAACTTAAAATGATAGTACTCTGCCAAAGCAGTATTCCATCCTCTCCTCATACCATCAATTAATAAGACTTTTCCCCCATCTCCAAGAGTCACCAAGAAATGTCAGTATGGAGCAGCTAGGTGGCGCAGTGGGATAGAGCACCAGCCCTGAAATGAGGAGTACCTGAATTCAAATCTGGCCTCAGACCAAGCACTTGACACTTACTAGCTGTGTGACCCTGGGCAAGTCACTTAACCCCAATTGCCTAAAAAAAAAAGAAAGAAAGAAAGAAATGTCAGCATGGAGTAAACAAGAACCAAGAGAAGCCTGTGGTTTTACAGAATGTGAGATTTTCTGGGAGTATTCAGAGAGAAGCCAGCAAATGACAATGCCTCTTTAGTTTATTAATTTTGCATCCTGCAAAAGGTTCTGAGAGATATTTTCTAATAGTGTGGCACTGATATCTTGACATTACATTAAAATGTAAACATACTAGCCTAAGCGTGTATGACGAGTAATATGCTTTGTATCCAAATCAATTCAATAAACACTAGCTATTAGCAGATCTGATATGTAAAATATGATGCTAGGCACTAAAGGAGATACAAAGAAGCATGAAGCATGGTCTCTGCCCTCTTACAGTTTACAATCTAGGGGATGAGATTAACCACATAGAGAAATACAATGCCGAAGTAAAATGTGAAATTGAATGAATAAGTGGTACAGTATGCCGGTAAAACCCTTGAAGCAGGGGTGGAGAACCTGCAGACTTGAGGCCACATATGGCCCTCTAGGTTCTCAAGTGAGGCCCTTTGACTGAATCCAAACGTCACAGTTTGGATTTCATTTGTTCTGTGAGATTTGGATTCAGTCAAAGGGCCATATTTGAGGACCTGGAGGGCTACATGTTCCCCACTCCTGCCTTGGAGGAAAACAACCCTCTGGCTGAAGAAACAGTGAGACCTTTAAGGAGAGGATTTCATCATTAAAAAAATCACTTTTGAGTTTTCTGATATCCATTTTTTTAATAGTGTCCTTAAAAATGCAAAAGTGGCTGTGTTTTGTATTTTATTCCAGGGTATTCTTGGCTCAGGGTTTGCATTAAAAGTGCAGGAACAGCACCGCCAGAAACACTTTGAGAAAAGAAGGAATCCAGCTGCCAGCCTAATTCAGGTAAATTTCAATGTAATAGGTAGGTAGCAGGATCTGTCTCTGTTAAGTACTTGTTAGGTACCTTTTATAGTCTTTGTGCTTCATTGTTTTGGAGAATTGCTGTTTTGTTTAAAGGAACCTGAAGCCTGAACCAAATGTACAATAACATGAAAACATCTTGGATTTGGGTTTATTGGGTTCATTTTTTCCAAGGAGGAAAATGTATGTTTTCAATGCCTCGTTCATGCATCATTCAGATGAATAGCCTTGCCAATAAGGCCAAGCAGAGGGCAGTGTCTGGGTGGCTTACTGTATGAATTAATTTGTTTTGTGAATAACTTAGAAAAACAGAGTTGATCATTAAGAGATGGAGCAGAACACGGCATTATCTAATTTTTTTTTCCCCAAGCTAACAGGATAGCAGTAATCTGAGGTGACTGTCTTTATTTAGAATATAAAGGTTGGAGTTTTATGGTGAATTACTGTTGCTATCATTTGGTGCAGCAACTTGAAACAGATATCCTATTTATAAGCTGACCGTACATTTTTGGTTAGCAATATAAAGGAATTCAGTGTTGGAGAAAGTGAAAAATTAAGCATGATGTTTAGTTGAAGCCAGTTCACAGAAGCCTTGACTTTTTAGTCAGCATTTCTTCTTATTCAGTGGCTCTGAACTTGTGTTCAACAGCCAAAGGAATGCTTTCTCTCTTCTCTGCCATCCATAGTTTACTGGCATGCAGCCTGCTGTTGGACCTCGTAGAGAATTTAACACACATTTTTTTTCCCCAGTCAAATTCTTTTTCCCCCTCATGACCCAATAATACAGAGTCAGCTTTTGATTATATCGAAGTTGATTATCCAACATGTGAATTTTTTTCTAGGTGTCTGGCTTCTCTTCCTGTCAGTTTCTTAGCCATTTTGATGTTTATTGGTACCTTTGCCAGAGGTTGAATAGGGAAAGAGAAAGAAAGGAAAATTTGAAACCATTCATTTTTCTTCTCTTTATTAGCTCAGGGAAAGAGTGCTTGTATCTAATGATTGAATGGGTTTGGTTTTGTTTGATTTTTTTTTTAATCTGAGTTCTCCCCTGTTGCCTGTTGGCATGGAAAACAGAGGTAAATGTAATACACAATTAAATTACCAGTGAAAGTAAAACTTTACTTCATTTTAAAATTCCCAGTTTTCAAAATAAAATTGGGGAGTGGGATAGGGGAAATAAGTTTCCCTTTTCTAAGCTAGGGGGAAAAGAAATTGCTTCTGAGCTCTGGGAGCCAAAACAACATCTGGACTTATGAAAAGGACAGTTATTTACTCCATTCAATTTCTAAAAGTTGCCTTGGGGCCCAGAAATCCCTTAATCCTTAGGAGAGCTTTGATTGGTTGTTTGGTGTGTTCAATATTATTAATGAATTATTCTCCTCACTACCACTGTCCTTTAATCTTGCTTCACTCCAAAGCATCAGCAGTTATGTTTGAAAATGAGGCCCTTTGCAGAATATCTATCACAAGGCACACTTATGATAAGGGAATAAAGGAAACCGTTTTTTTTACTTGACAGGAGTAAATAACTGTCCTTTTTATAAGTCCAGATGGTAGAGGTGTAGATGTATGTACACTGACTGCATCATAGGAGAGCCCATGAGAAAGGAAGGAGCCCCTCTCCATAAGAAGCTATTTGTTTTTAAATCAACTTAAGGTGAGGGGGTCTGTCTTGGAAATCCAGAATACATTGTGTTATATCCACGGTGGGAGAATGGGAGTAGCCCCACATGTATGAAAAAAAAAAACAGCTACAAATTAGGTTTCAGGTAAGTAAAATTATCATATTTGTAAATTATCCTTCTGTTTATCCTTCCAATGCTGATTCTAATTATTTTTTAACACATAAAAGTATTCAGTGATCTTGACTTTCTAATGGGAAATAGTACACTGATGAAATTTGGAAAAAAAATTGTGCCATCAAAAAAGGTTTTATTTCTTAATGACCAATAATCAAGTCAGAATCTATCCATTTTAAAAGGCAGTCAATTGAATGAGTTGCAGTATAAATAGAAAGATAATTCTTGAATGTGTTTATCATTATTTCTACTAGCCAGCACTGGGTCTCGAAAGCTAGCATCTACGCTATACATCTGTATAATTTATACTGTGCACTAGATCGGTAAACCAGCTTCCTGACATTGTTCATTTACTTATCCACTAAGTCCTTCTTGGATAGCAGTGTGGTTAGAAGAACAAGCCCAAACCTAATCCTATTTGGTTTAAATCACAGCCATTGTCTTTCCAGAGGGTAATCCAAATAAGAGAATTACTCAGTGCACATCCAAGAAGCAATCAACACTACTGGTATTTCAGAGCTTTAGTGAAAAAATACAAAAGCACCGTAGTTACAAAAGTCACTGTAAATCCAGTATCTTTGTATAATCCATTTAAACAAACTTTTCATTTAAGGAAAAGCAAATAACTTATAACAAAAGGTATATCTTTCTAAAAGTTTATAAGTTTGCAGAAGTCTCATAATTCTTAAATTTTTGATCAGTCATTTCAGTCATATCCAACTCTTTGTGACCCTATTTTGGGTATTCTTGAAGATAGTGGAGTGGTTTGTCATCTCATTCTCCAGCTCATTTTACAGATAAGGAAAGTGAGGCAAACCAGGTCAAGTGACTTGCCTAGGGTCACACAGCAGTTGTGTCTAAGGCCAGATTTGCACTCAGGAAGATGAGGCTTCCTGACTCCAGGCTTGGTACTCTATCCACTGCTCCATCTAGCTACCCAATTCTTAAGTGCTATCAAAAACTCCAAAGATTTTGAATTGGTATTTAAAAACAAAATCTTCCCAAAGTCCCATATTAACCATGTACATGGTCAGTTACTATGTAAGGTAATATATATATATATATATATATATATATATATATATATATATATAGTAAAACTACAATGTAATGGGACACAATGATCATTAAGAGTCTAATTTATATCCTCTCCCATAAGAAAATCCAAGTCATGTCTGACTTGTATATATTAGATTGTTTTCTATATAGCCCCAAACTTACCAAATAACAAGCAACTCTACCTTTCATTGTTCATCACATAAAATTGGTCTTTGGCATATATGTGTTAGAATCTCCCCTAGACATTATTTGTTTCTTCTTTTTTTTTCTTTTTTTTTTTTGGCTTTTTAAGTTAAGTGACTTGCCCAAGGTCACACAGCTAGTAAAGTGTCATACATCTGAGGCCAGATTTGAACTCAGGTCCTCCTGACTCCAAGGCCAGAGCTCTATCTACTGTGCCACGTAGCTGCCCCATTATTTCTTTCTTCTACCAAAACATGATTATGACTGAAAAAAAATGTGGACATTCTGACTTGTCAATACATCAGTCACTTAATCATTTGCTACTGAAACTATTTGAATTCAGCTTCCAGTATGTACTTGCAACCTGTTATTTCTCTGCTACTTCAACTGTCAGAGATAGAGTCCCTCAAATGCAGATGAGGAAAAGACAAGGTTATTCTTGTGAAATTCGTTTTTTTTTCTTTAGACTAAAAACGAGCATCAGCCCTGAGACAGGTGCTACTAAGTCCTTTCTGTATCGTTTGTCTATAAAACCATTTTTATTAGGAGAGAGGATCAAAGAAGCCAGTGATTGACAGTTAAGAATAGATTGGATTGAAAAGAGAGGTCAGAAGCTAGGCCTCATGGTAAGGAAAATTTTCACTTTTTCTAAAGTGTGACCCATTCTGCCTAATGTTCTTTATGACCTTGGTTGGTGATGTCTCAGTCCCTTTTTGTTGTTTTGTTGTGGTTTCTTGTGTCGGGATCTTTGGGGATAGAGGAAGGTGACAGAGTTGCAGGCTCAGTGATGAGTAAGGATATGAACTGTAACTGAAGGTCCACACCAGCTTTGATTTCAAAGAACCAGGATCCAAATATAAATATTTATGGAAATGATTTTAAATAAGTGGCCATTTCTAATATGACCACAGTGGGGAAATCTGTTGGGTTTTTTCCACAGAGAGCAAAAGTCATGCCAAAAAAAGAAAATCCATGAATTGTCACATGATTACCCTAAATAAAATTGCAGATACTGCTAGTGCAATTTAATATCTGGACAGCTAGATGGCACAGTGGGTAGAGTGCTGGGCACTGAGTCAGGAAGCCGCCTCTTCCTGAGTTCACATCTGGCCCCAGACACTTAATGACTGTGTAAACTAGTCTGGCTATGTCTGGCCAAATCACTTAATCCTATTTACCTCAGTTTTCTCATCTGCAAAATGAGCTGGAGAAGGAAAAGACAAAACACTCTAGTATCTTTGCCAAGAAAACCCCAAGCAGGGTCACAAGTCAGACAAATGAAACAAATGATCAACAACAATTTAATATCTAAAAAAAAATTTCAAATATAGCACAAAACTAATCATCATATCATTTTTAGTATGCTGAGATGTCTCAAGTAAACTAGATGCCCAAGGGCAGCAAGGTGGCCCAGTGGATAGAGCATCATCCCTAGAGTAAGAAGGACCTGAGTTCAAATCCAGCCCCAGACACATAACATGCCCTAGCTGTGTGACTCTGGGCAAGTCACTTAACCCCAATTGCCTCACCAAAAAAAAAAAAAACCTAGATGCCCAGTGCCTACTCACATATACTTCAGCACTTTTGTTCTGGATCTACTCAGGTGCACCCTCTTTCCTAACCCATCCATCAAGCACCTACTATGTGCCAGGCACTGTACTAAGGCACTGAAAATACAAATACAAAGAAAGAAACAATCTTTCCTCTCAAGGAGCTTATATACTAATGGAAATTCCATCCCAGGCACTCTGTTTCCCATATGGAGATTACTATTGTGCCACCCAGATTTAGAATCTCTCAGCTGTTAGGAAAATAACATGATGTAGTGGAAAGAGTGCTGGATCTGTAGTCAGAGATCCAGGGTTCAAATACCAATTCTGGCACTTACTACCTATGTAATCCTGGGTAAGATATTTAATCTTTGGAACTCAAGTTTCCTCAAGTACAAAATGAAGAGTGTAGGACTAGGTGACCTCAAAGGTACCTTCCATCTCTAAAAATGCTCCTAGACTTCCATGCCTGATTTGTGATCTACTTCCTAATTCATCATGTATTTCTGCTTTCTGATCAGAAAATCTGTAGCAAACTCTCATTCTAATAATTCTCCTTTCACTGAATTGCCCTGAAATAGCCTCCACAAAGCCCAACTATGCCAACATACATTCATATAATGAATCCAATAAAACCCATTACCATCTGCTACTCTGATTCCTGAATTTTCTCACATAACAATGTCTTTTTGATAGACAATGCTATTTAACCACCCCTTTCTGTTCAACTTGAATAGTCTCTCCTGTTGCCACATTCCAACACAAGTCATGCCCCATGAAGTCATGCTCCCTCTAAAGTAGTTTACCTCCTTGCATTAAAATATCTAATTCATTTTATTACCCATAATTTGTACGTTTTTATGTAATCATTTATAGAATATTTTTCCTATGCGTTACCGAGCCCACTCACTAATGTTGTTCGTTAAATGGTTTACCTATGGTTTTTCTAATCGTGAGTGAAAGGGGCCTAAGTAGAGGCCTGATCTGTTTAAATGAATTTGTCATTTAGAGTAAAACTATTTTGACATGTTGGTTACAATAATATATTTTGCTCCAGAAGTTTGAGTAAACACTTTGTCACGACACTGTTTACAAGTCAAGTACATAGCAAGAATGCTCATTAAATGTCCCTAAGAAGGTAGTCTCAGATGGGTGATTTTTCTAGAAAAGGTAACTGTATTTCTTGCCACAGCCACCAGATTAAAAGAGACAAATTCAGCCTGTCATTTGGATGCTTTGTCTACACAACAAATGTATTTTGGGTGGTGAACTAAATTTTTTTAATTTTCCATCAAGCTCTGTCATTGTATAGACAGAACCAACAGCCAGTCCTGAGTTTCAGCATTTCAATGTTCCCAAATTGTACTCCTTATAGAATCTTATCTTCTCCCCTCCTCTAATTTTGGTCTTGGTTTGTATTATCACTATTTATCTTCATCTTTAGCCTCAAAATAATCATGTAAGTTCCACCTCAGGAAATTTCACAAATTGAAATCATTTACTACTCATGTCTACTAACTAATTGGATTTGAAACTATTTAAAAGCCATTTGCAGCTGTCTAACTGATTGTTGATTAAAGAGTTCAGGATGACTGTTTTTTTCCTATGTCATATTTTGGTTTTCAAGGACTTTTTCCTCTAAGTTTTCCTGATATTGTTTCCTGAGCTAGTTCAACAAGCCATGCCCTCAGTTTAGGCCAAATCGATTTTTTTTCCATAATCAATTCTTAATTTATTTAATATCATACTATGTTGGTTTTCTTGTGCTTTTCTATTCTTTCCTGATACCAGGCTGCTTGGTGAATTTATTTGACTGACTGCAGAGGAACAAGCCTAGCAGCCACCTCACAATATTATAAAAAGTATTCTTCTACCCCTCAGGCATGTATCAGGACTATGAATGATAAGGACAAAAATCCCTTAATGTGTATTGTTTTACTAATCAGCTTTTCCATTTTTGTTCTGTCCTCTGCTCCCTCTGCCTTTTTTTCTTTCTTTCCTTTTTTTTCTTTCTTTTTTTTTTTATCATGTATCCGGCCCATAGTGTGTATGGCGTAGTTATGCAGCTGATGAGAAATCAGTTTCCATTGCTACCTGGAAGCCTCATTTGAAGGCCTTACATACCTGCAGTCCTACCAAGTAGGTACCAGTCTGAGAGTCAGTGATGTGCTCAATGTCTGTTCCAGCCTGTTTTTTGTTTTTGTTTTTGGGTTTTTGGTTTTTTTGTTATTGTTGGTTTTCAAAATAAGCATTAATGTTTGGCTTGTCTCATTCTGTGTATCTCTTTGAGAGTTTCAAATCTGGCTTGTAGCAACAGGGACTCCAGATTTAATGTACCCAATAAAACTCAATGCCATCTACCAATGGTGCTAAATAAATAGATTAGGAGGACAATGCCCAGAGTCTTACAATCCTAGATTCTTTACCATTCAAATCATCCATGATACCAATTCTTTGTTAACATTCATCAAAGATGTTAATAATCATAGATGGATGAGTAGGTATGTCATTTGTTTTGCTAATTCTTTGTATGTTGGCATGAAGAACAGTGCACAAATAACTTTTTAGTGATAAATTACTTCCATGAATTTTAATGATTTATAACAAAAACTGTGCAGAGAATATCAACAGAATATCAGAATAATCAGAAATTAAATCTACATATGTATATACACTCAGATATGTGCATATGCACAGAACACTATTTCTATTATTCATCCTTGAGTGCCTCCATCCCAGCAACAGCCTGAAGACAACTAGAAGGATAAAAAAACCCCTCAGCTTTATATTCTATATATTGATTCTTAATCCCTCTCAAAAGACAAGTGACTTAACTTTGCCCATTTAAATCTGTCAGATCCATTCAGAAGAAGTATCATCTGGATATTATTGTTTCAAGAAACTCCACATTCTTGAACTTTCACTTTGAGGTCAAACTAACATAATTGTTGAAGCAGAAAAACAAGAAGGACAGATTTAACTTGATTATATAGTGAAGCTAAAGAATTTCTCTATCAAATTAAAAAATTCACTCCAGTACTAGCATTAGCAATCAAAAATGTTAAGGTAATATGATATCTTCCGAAGACCTCCATAAAAAATTACCATACCCATTCCGAGGCATAGAGCCTTGACAAATGGCTATTGCTTAATTGAGCCAGTCACCAATTAAAATCACTTAAGCAGTTAATGGAGGAGGCAACCAATAAATGTTTCTTGAATTGGAGTCATATCTGATTTGGTTGAAATGGATTGTGTCTGTTTTCTAAATGTTTAAACATCGCCACTTTGCTTCTCCCATTTAGGACATTAAAACACCTTCTCTTCTAACACCAGACTAACCCTGACTCTGAACTTGATGGTCCAGTAGAATTAATTTAATGCTCTTACTGCTATAGCCAGGGTTCTATTCCTGAACAGGAAAATTTCCCTGTTTGTGCTGATTGCAGAAAGAGCCTCATTTCCCCCAAATGATAGTGAGGAGACATTAATTCTAATTCTGTCTGCTAATCAGCTTTGTAAGTTTAGGCAACCTGCTTCTTCTCTCTGGGCCCAAGGTTTTTATCTACAAAATATGGAAATTGTCCTAGATGATGCTGAAAATGAGGCTTCATGGTACTGTGAAAAGAGTATTGAACTTAGAATCAGAGGACCTGAATTTAAACCTGGCTCTGCTAATGTGATTTGGGCAAGTCACAATTTCTCTGGGCCTCCGCTTCCTCATCTATAATGATTTCTAAGGTCCCTAATAGCGCTAAAGCTATTATCCTATGATCCTCTTAATATCTCTGAAATTCTGTGATTCTGTATGTCACTGTTTAGAACATCAGCACCGAGGACAGTTCTATGCATAGACACTGAATTTTAGCGCTAGATAGGACCTTAGAGATAATTGATGGATACATGTTGAATTAATACTTTCTTCTTGTGTAAAGCATATAAACCATATGGGTTCACTTTATTGAGGACCGAGCCTCAGGGAAAGGTTTCAGACCATTGCAGTTATAAGAAGCTGTGACATTTTATGAAAAAGAACATAGCAAATTGCCAGTGATTCCTTAGGGTATGAATCTTGGAAGAGGAAAAAATAAGTAGAATTTGGAAGCATTTTGTATTTCTAATCCTCTTGAGGGAACTTATGCAAACAAGTGTTTGCTACATGCATTTAAACAGAGAAGGGTAGAAGGAAAGCCAAAAACTGAATTTTAAAGTGATAAAAATAAAGTAGTTTATTATCACATGAGATTATTCAGCATCCCCAAGCAGTTTTAGAAAAGTCATTTTGGAACGTGGAAAAACTGATTTTTATAAACAGGGAATATCATGTCAGATTCTCCTAGTGCGTGTATTGTCATTTTACTTGAATAATCTCCTTCTTCTACCTCCCCTCCTATGTTTTCTCTCTAAACAGGGTTGAGGGAGAGTAGGAAGAATTACATAAATACCCAAATAATGATCTGCCACCTCCTGTAGCTTTTATTAATTACTGACAGTCTCACTTTCATTTACTAAATAAACGAGTTTTTACATAGCAGTCAGTGGCACAGTTAACTGGACTTTCAGTTTTCTAGGACTTTTCATAGAATCATAGATTTCACTGAAAGGGAGCTTAGTAGCTATCAAGTACAACACCCCATTTTACAAATGAAGAAACTGAGGCCCAGAGAGGTTAAATGACTTGCCCAAAGTCACAAAACCAGTGTCTGAGGCAGGGTTTGAACCAGGCCTTACTGACTCCAAATCTAGTGACCTATCTTACTACACCATGCTTTGACAAGTCTTCATTTCTTAAAAAGACTGATTTAATACAACTTTATATTTCAGATAGATATGATTCAAAAGTAGTTGAAAGAAGTATTTATACTTAGTATTTCCTTTCCTTTCGAGTTTCTGATTGGGAACATAATACCTTAAGAGACAAATCAGGCAGTTCTAGCCCATTGCTAATACTCCACATTGGTTTGCAGGAACAGTGGGGTGTCTATAGACACCTAGGGAAAGTAGAATGAAGAAAGAGATAAAGATGGAAGAGGCAGAGAGGCAACTGGTAGGGGTAGAGCAGTGAGTACTGCCCCTTCCAAAACCCATGGATATGCCAGTTCTTCAATTTAATGCTTTAATGTTTCCTCTTACAAAAGCCTCTGCTGGCACCAGCAATTGCCATTTCAAAGAGTGTTGAGGCTAGGGGTAGGTATGAAGGGAAGAATTGCAGACAAAATGTTTTTCTTGGCTCTTCTTAAAACAAGTGGGGAAGAATATTCAGATAGAAGTAAAATGCAAGTGAAAAGGTTACTGTCTGAAATTAGTCAATGATTTTAAGAAACTGCATTAACTCTTGGAGATGACCAGGACACCTTCCGGTACCACTAATGTGTTAACCTCCCATTGTGTTTTTCTATAACTAAACTTACTACTGGGAAATATTCAAATACTACTCAATAATAGCCTAGGAGAATTCCTGTAGATTTCCAAAGCACCTAATTTATTCCTGGCAAACGGTTTACATGACGAGAAAAGCTGGTTCAGTCAGAAACTCAGCTACAGAGGCACATTCACACATTAATGAGTCCAGATAAAGAATAGGACAGCTGAACTAAAATAAATCAGGCTACATCTGTGGCATTAGCATCCTTTTAAATGTCTTTGCTTATTCCACCTGAATCAAACCCATATTTCTTATTACAGCTTATTTTGCTTAATGAGAGGTCTATAATTTTTGCTGTATATTGCACACAATGTGGTTGTTAAATAAATGTTTGGCTGACAGTCTGCAGCTCAAAGTGTGTGTGTATATGTGTGCGTATGTGTATTTTAAAATTGCCATTGTCATTATTTTCAGGGATATTACATTTATGAAACTTGCTTAAATATTTCTTCCATAAAAGGTTTATTTTAAATGTTTATTTTTTTCCAATTCCCAACTTAACATGTCTCAAATGTAAAATCATTTAAATGTATTATTGACTGATTTCATCCTTGTTTCTCTTCCATCTGCATCCACACCTGAAGGAAAGACCAAGGGGAAACATCCAGCAGGTTTGTGAATTCTCTTTTGTTAGACGTTTGTTTATAAGCCAGGTGACTGGTGGATGTTTTAAATGGGTTTCTTCTGGGTAAAATCGATCAACAAATACAAAATGATTAAAAGTGACCTTTCCCAAGATTGTCTGAAAATGTTTCATTGATCACTCACCTGCTGCCTTATACACTCCATTGAGCAAAGACTCTTCTGTGGGGGTAGGAGGTGGGGAAGAGTAAAAGCTGTTGGCAACTCCTTACTGCCCCACTGCCAGGCAAAAATCATGCTGAAGCACTCAAATATAGTAATCTAGACAGTAAAAGCAAATACTTGTCCTCAAGAGCCATAAGCATGAAGAGCTTAACAAGTGGGCAAAACAGGTAGCTACCTAAGGGAATGATTTGAGGGGCTCACCTACAGGAGTCATTCCTTTGAGTTAAGGCCCCAGCTCCAAGAGGCTCTTTTAAATGCAGTTATGCTATCGGAAAAGGTAAGAAATTATCTCATTATCAGCCATTAACATCTTAGCTTAGATTAATTTATCAGATTAGCTAACATAGAGCTTCATACTATTTTGAGTTGATCAAGTGCTTAACAAATTAGGGTTTTTTTTTTTCATTCATCCATTCATAAACCCTGTGGAGAAGGGAGATGGGACAAATAAGGTTTGGCAGAGGGGAGAGACTCAAGAATATTCTGGAGTACAGGACATTTAGTAACTAGGAAGGAATAAGCTTGCGAAGGCACTTCGTCGAGGGTGGCAAACACAACATAAGAACGTGAGGTGCCTGAAAGGAGATGAAGATTCCTGAAAACAAACTTGTTCTGCTTCATAATTTGACCACAGTCATTCCTGGGCCAGGAGCTTTTAAAGCCAGGCAGAGTCACACAACATGGGCTTACCTTGATGGGAGAACCACATGCTCCCAGCTGGTCCTTAGCTTTTTATATTCAGAAACCTGATTTTTCCTTTTCATCCAGGATAGGAATTTAGGGAGCAGGCAGGGAAGCATCTGCTCATGCCATACAAACCCACTAGAGACTTGCCTAATAATTCAGAATGTCAGTTCACTGGTTTACAATGGAAGATATAGCTGAAAGACAAAAATAACCATTACTGGTTGTTTGCCCAAGGGATTCCCTTCCAGGGTAATGGTTCAATTCAAGAGACCAAATTGAAAGATTGTTTGTCATAGAATCAGACAAAAGACAGATATCCTTAAAGGATATTTCTATCAAGCCAAGGTAACTTAAATAATTCCCTTTTTTCCAGTCAAGGGATATTTTTATCCAAATAACTAGAGCTGGTCATTAAAATCAGAACAACTTCTGCCTTGGATATTTTTTTCCAGAAACACTGGAAAAAATGGTGATTCTGATTCTCTTTTTCTTAGATTCCATGCTGACCACCACTCTTTTGTTATGACATTTTAATTAAGCCACAGCTTATTTTATATTAGTGACATTTTCATTTCCTAGTAGAGAAAGGCAACCTTAATGGGCAATACTTTTAGAAATAGTCATTTTTTTATCCCACTCACAAATTTCAGAGATATACTCCTGTTTTGATGCATCCATTCACTAATCCTATCCCTAAAATATACTTAATCAGTCTTGGTTCCCTAAAAATAGAATAATGATGCACAGGTACATAAATAAGGACATATGATATAGATAACTTCCTCCACCTGGCTAGGAAATGCCTTTTTAATAATGACTGATGTTTATGTCTATCCCTTTAAGTTTACAAAACCCTTTACATACATTGTCATGTTTGAACCTTGTAGTAAACATGCAAGGTAGCCCCACTTTATAGAGGAGGAAAATGAAGCTCAAGGAAGACAGGTGAAAATTATCGTCTTGAGATATATGACACACTGATCCCCTAAACCAAGCTAAACATGCAGAGAAGGATAAGATTTCATGGGAATTTTCGCTGGATAGATTGATAAGAATATAGGGTCTGCAAATGAGCAAATTGGCCCCATTTAAAAGTGGTTCGACATTTAGGCCAATTCAAAACCTTTAGGAATATTGGCTCTGACTTTAGAGAAAAATTCATTATGTCATTTTTCCCTGTCTTTATAGTTCATCAAAGCCAAGTTCTCACAGCCTGAATGTCTCCCACATGCCTTTTAATAGTTTTATTGTTTAGTTTATGGTGATTGTCTATTGCAAGTACAGGCCAAATTCATATTTGAGGCCTTAGAGGCTTTTTTCAAAGAGGACTAGCATTTCAGTTGTTTCTGGATGGGCTTAGAAGCCCATCTTCACTCAGATAAGCATGCCTATTTGTAAACACTCCAAAGGGCTATGACATGGGTAAAGGTGAGGTACATTTTATATTTTATTACATGCTTAGTAGCAGTAAGAAAATATTTTCTCCATATTATTCATTATTAAGGCAATGTTTAAACAAAGTTCATACTAGTTATTAGGTAAGGGAGAATGGTACAGGAAAAGCCCAATGTGGTGATTAATTCTATACAATTATGAAGGATACAGGGGAAATTTTAATCAATGTAAAAACAAAATACGTAAATAGAAATTATTTTGAATATTTACAACAGAGCTCCCAACCAAAGAGGAAGATCACATTAACTCTGGCAAGAAAACAGCCTTGACAGCATGGGTCAACTGAGCCAGGGTGAACACAAGCTATCTATCTGCTGGCCTGTCATGTTTTTGGTTACAAGGCCTATTCTGATTCACTTCCTACTATATATACTCCCCTGAGCCTCCTCTACCTACCTATAGCATAAAGAAAACTTTAGCATTACTCACTTAACCATTTGTTTTCCCAGTCACTTCATGTATCTCCCTGCTCACCTCCCCCAGGTAGCCCACTTATTGTCACATAAGTGAAGAATGTTGTTCATGTCAATACTTTTAAATGGAATTACTCAGGATAAGAAAGTGTTCTAATTTTGCCATATATGGACATTCATAAAGACAGCTGTTTGCCATGAATTACACTTGTATCTGAATAAACCACGACTTCTATTCAGCCAACTCTTGATTATTCAGAGGTTGGCTACCTAATTATCCGAATACTTAAGACCTCTGCTTCAGTTCCTCCCTCAAATAGTGTTATCTTTTGTCCCTGTTCCCCAATTGTTGCCCCTTCTAGCAAGTGGAGTAGAGAGAGAACATGAAACATAGCAGTAAATTTTGCTACTTGCTACCAACTTGTTTTCACTAGCTGGCAAATGAGGTCGTATGTATTCTTATTAATTAAACTAAGGTTTGCAGATTAGCTATGGATTTCAGTGTCCTGGCTCACCCTGTCCTCTATTATCAACAATGATCAAGAGGTGGCTAAATGCTTTAATTTTGTGTTAAGCTTCACAATAAAGTTTTCAAGGTGTGAACAGAAGTCTTTTGAATCTTTAAGCAATAGCATATCAGTTGATTTATCCTGCATTCATGAGAATGGTCATAAAAAGAAATATCTTAAAATTAAAACAGAAATGATATTCTATATTTTAGTGAAATCATGTGTTCTAATATGTTTAAGTGCCTTTTCTGAAGCATGATATTTTTGGTGGTTGTGTATAGCTCTTAGTGTGTGTGTGTGGGGGGGGGGTCCTGTTGTCTTGGGACATTTTCAAAAATTGCCAAATGTCTGCTACCTCAGATTTCTTCTACTCATATCTTCTACTCACCACTTTCTATTTCTTCTGTGTTGTTTTGAATGATTTGCATGTGATGTGAATCCTGACTAAATAAGAACTGTCTCTAATTTTTCTGTATATTTAGTCAAAATGTGTCTTTATTGGCAAAATGTTCATTTGTTTCAAGAGCATCATTTTTGCTTCCAGTTCTCTTCTTCTGATCAGGAAGAGAATTTGATTCTTTGTACATGCACATATTGCATTATAATACTGTAAGAAACTATTACTTCTGCAAAATAATAGGTATGGATCTTTTTTTCCTTTTCCACTGTGTGGTCATTTTTAACATACACACTCCTAGACAAAAAGATCAAAAAGATGTATCCTAATCACAACTGGTTGCATCTAGATGCCATCTGTAAACAGAGAAACTACATGAGTTCACTTTTTTACAAATTCAAGCCACTAATTTTTGAGCAATTACTGTGATCTTCAATAAACATTTCTATAAATGTTTGCTGAAACACTCTGAAAGATTTAATTTATTCTCAATTCATATACGCTAATAAAAGTACTAAATTAATATTTATTACCAATAAGGATAGCTCCACAGTAATTGATGATATACATGATCATTTTCGTTTTAAATGGAAGTTGATGTGTGCACCTCCCAAATTTTGTTGTGGTATTGATTCTCTCACATCTCTTTCACCTCCCTTCCCCCAACCTAATTGGAAATGGCCTTGCATTCCTTTCATGTAACAGAACTGAAAAAGTATTGCTTGTTGCTTCTACGGTCTCTGCATTCACAGAAGAATTACAAACGAATGAAGCAGGAACCTGAGTTGCCTTGATTTGTAGAAGAAAAAAAACCTAAGCCCTTTCCTAGTAGTGAAATGCTGAGTAATGTGATCCTCTATTTCCCCTCACTCCTAGTAAGCTCTGTAGTAATAAACAGAAGCTCTTCAAGATGTACACCTCTCGGAAACATAGGTATCCAGCATCCTGTCTATTGACATGATCTTTGAGAATGCCAACTAACATCAGGTGCATGATTAGTTTACACTCCCTCTCCCTCCTTAGAGCTTCACAGATTCTGACTTCTAGGGACTCTCTCTTGATTGGGGGTTTTCAACTTGCTTGTAATTTTCCTTGTTGCCTGTTGCCTGTCATGATGTATCTACTACAGTGGCAATTGAGTGATGGCCATCATAGTGTTATCTCTCAATCCCCTGGCACATTCATCTAGTTGGGGAAATTGTTCCGGCTGCACTGGATGTAAGTAAGCTGAGTTCAACTCAGTTGTATCCGAGGCGGGATCTTGAAGATACTTACTCATATGAAAGGCTCACCTAGTCATTGCATATTCATCTAACTACTTCATTCTAAGCCCAAATGACATACTGGAAGAGTGGTGGCAGTGTTATGATGCTGCAGCCACATTCCCTTGTAGGAAACCTTTGGTATATATTGCATGCTGGGCTGTATCAATACCCTATACTTCCTTGCTGTTGCTCTTGAGGAGAGGATCCCCTTAGATTTGGCTTGTGTAGGCTTGGAGGTGTGAGGGTAACATGTTTTAGTCAGGCAGAGCTTTGATTCAGTTGGATTCTGGTGCCTTCTTGATTCCCTTCCCCCAAAGTAAAATTTTAGCTTATTGGTTTCTTAGGAATAATTCAGAAATTTCTACCTTAAAAAACTGGTACATAAATATTCTTGGGATGGGGGGAGGGGGAAGAGAAGAAAAACTCTTAATCATTTTTATCACAGATTAAGCAATAAGGGTGTTGGAACTCAAAAACTTGTGGAAGTGAATGTTGAAAACTAAAAATAAATAAATGTATTTTAAAAAAAAAAGAAGGGTGAATTTCTTAACTGAACCAGTATAAAGACTGAATCTTAATCAGTGTACTTTTCAATAATAGCTCCCCAATCAGTATAATAGCTGCCTAATCAAGAAATTCTATTAATTTCCAGTGAGGAAAAGAAGTAGACAGACTAATAAAAGCAATAAGTGGGCACAGTGCCAGATGTGAGCCTCTAAAACAAGGGTGCTTAATCTTTTTGTGTTAGGTCCCCTTTTGAGAGTCTGGTAAATGGACTCCTTCTCTGAATAATGTTTTTAACATATAAAATACTCAGGATTACAAAGGAAAGCAATTATACTGAAATACAGATATCAAAATGTTAAAAAATAATAATAATAAACCAAGTTTACATACCAATTTAAGGACCCCTGCTCTAAAGGAAAGTTTTGTGTGTTAGGAGATTAGAATTTGACTCCTTCACTAAACTTTAATATACATTTATGGAAAAGAAAAAGAAAATAGTGGGTCTTTTGAAAATTAGTATTTTTGACAGTTTCAATAATGTTGAATTTGTTTCTAAATAATTTCTTGAAGAATATGGAATTTGTGTTCATATTGGACCTTGGTAAATAGCTGTTGAGAGTACAAAAAAAGGTCAAAAAGCTTGAGTATATAGAGACATATCCATCACCCTCATCATTACTCCATTTGGTTGCCAGGATTCAGCAAATGAAATAATATTCCACTGAAATGTGACCCATTTTTCTCTCCCTTTTATAGTTAACATTGAACCCTGTTTTCACAATGGCTCATTTTTAAAGTAGTCATTTCTTGTCTTATGAAAACCTCAGATGATTGAAAGAAACCAATAATTTCCACTGTTTATTTTTATTTTGCAGCAGCTGAAATAAGAAGCAGAACACATAAGATTCATATTATTCTTGATTTGCCACTTTCTATCAGTTTCCCACTCATTTAGTTAGCATAAGAAAAAGACAGGTCTAGAAAGGGACAGAGATAGGGACTGACTATGTGCTCTCATTTGCATATGAAACATGCTAGTAAGGAAACTCTCTCTACCAATTCAGGTTAGCACCTTCTCTGCCATTTACAGAGAGTTGCCTAAGCACTGACAGGTTAAGTGATTTGCAGAGTCACACAACTAGTTTGTGTCAGAGACAGGATTTGAACCCAAGTCTTCCTGGCATCAAGGCTGCCTCTCCATTTCTCCTTGCTTCCTCTTCCATTCATTTAATAAGTACTAGAAAGAGACAAATCTAGAAAGCTTGAGAAAAATCACTTTACTTCATTTAAAGCCAAGTTTCAATAATAATTGCCATCTATAAACCTGGAAAAGTTAATGGAACTAAATTAAGAGAGAACATATGTAATGATAGTTATATATCACTGGAACCATTCATTAACCTGGTGAAGACACCTTAGCCAATGTAAGCTTTCTTGGACTAGTCATAAACATAAGTGATTAAGCAAATGCCCAGAGATTAAAAGGTGATTTGAACTGGAGACCAATAAACCTGAACACTTGCTTCTTTTTTCCTAGATAAAAAAGTGAGTTGAGGGTCAGCTGAATTGTATGATTTTGTTAACCAGGATTTGTTAGCATCTTATGTGAGGAGGAGTTGACATTTTTAGCCCTCCAGGGATATGGGGTTTTTTTTTTCAACCATTAGTGACTTTCATAGAGTAGTATGAGAATATAGAAATGTAAGTGTTCTACGTTAGCTTTTTTTTTCCATAAGGTAATCTGCCACCTAGAAAATGTGGTTTACCACATACAGTGAAATTTTGTTACTGATGTGATTGTTTTAAAGAATTCTTGAAACAGTCCCCTTTCACAAAGCTGCCCAGCATGTTCTTTGCACGTCTCCCACCCCACTCCCTCTACTTCAACCATCCATGCTAGACTCAGCCATGTTTGTATTCCAAATGAAGAGCAGTAAAGTGCATGGTAAAGCTGTTGATTGTCCTCCAGAATTTCATGACCTCAGGAGTTCATGGTTTGATTTGTTTTCATACTGTATAAGCACACATAAAATGTCGTGTCTCCTTAAAGTATCATCTGTTAAGCAACTAGGCATGGAAAAAAATGTTAACGTTTCTCGTTAGCTACAAAATACATATCCACTAAACACATTTGCTGTTGGCATGCTGCAGTTTGGGACAATGGACCTTGCGGTAAGTGGAAAAGACAAGGCCTCCACTTCATGAGTAGTTGGACAACCCTTGTCAATACAAATGCCTCTTTTCCCCACCCATCTTCATACCTCCCAAAGGCTGTGACACAGCAGCCTCCAATTCGACCCAATGAAATTATTTCAGATCTCATGGAACTGCCAGGAACTCTACCTTGAGCCTGCAACCCCATTATTCTATAAAACCAACATATAAGTTTGTGCACCTCCTACATAGCTAATTGGGTGTCACCCTCCTTTGAATGCTTCTGGCTATTTTCTGGGTGGAACACTGAAGCAAACCAGATACATAATACTCATGATGCACCAACACAGACTTAGAGGGCAAAGCATAAATGACTCACATGTATGCAAATGAACACCAGAAAGAGTCACCAACCTGCAAGCACGTGGGTGGAGGAAAAATGCCTTACCTGCAGATGCGTGTGATGTCCAGTGTCTGATATTTTAAAAGTCCAACTTTTATCAGTCACTGATAATGCAAACCTAACTGGCACTTGAGAACTTGGCTGCCCTGCCAGAAATAATTTACAAGCTGCCACAGCAAATCAATAACCTGTTTAACAGCAGGAAATTGTGTTAGTGAACATGGAACATAGCATCACGTTTCTGTTAATTGGTCATCATACTCATTACATCTCAGAGCTGTTTTCTCTTGCCTGTTGTCTGTCTCACATAAATGAATGTCAGCCTAAAGGAAATGTGAAGTGTGGGGTGTTGTTTGTCTGACAATATGTATGCAGTATTGCCAGCTGTCATGAAAATGCATGAATCTCTCAATATCATAACTGCCCGCAAAAGAAGCAGCATGTAGAAAATATATATGTATATCAATAACTGTTTTCCTGTAGAAATGATTAGAAATGCACTGAACCCTGCTCTGAACAGGAAATAAATATGAAAACTCTGTAAAGTCAAAACCATCAGGAAAACCACCCACTTGTCTCCTAAAAGTAATAACTTAGCTGGCTTATAGTTCTCTTTCATTGGATTGTCCCCAAATTGCTGTGCGTCATTTTAATCCTTTCTACAGTTAATCCAAGAGGGACTACCTATAAAATGTGATTGATTTCAAGGGCGTGCAATCACACAGATTGGAAAGGCTTCATTTTTTTTTTAGGATGGGGGAGGGAGGGAACCAGTTTTTCTTTTTTGAATTGCTGTACTGCCTAAAACATGCACTGCGTACAGGTAACTCTAATTATTTTTCCGAGTAAAGATGAAGAAATACATCGATCTATAATAACACACTCCATCTGTTTCTCACAGCCAGAAGCTAAGTTTTAAAGAACGGGTCCGGATGGCTAGCCCAAGAGGTCAGAGTATCAAAAGCAGACAAGCCTCAGTGGGAGACCGGCGATCGCCAAGCACAGACATCACAGCCGAGAGCAGTCCAACCAAAGTGCAGAAAAGCTGGAGTTTCAATGATCGAACTCGCTTTCGACCTTCCCTACGTCTCAAAAGTTCTCAGCCAAAGCCAGTAATAGATGGTGAGTTGCTTTTTCGTTTTCCCCATGCCCATTTTATAGCTAATATGTGGTATTAGACCATATTAAATAATTAATCCTCCAAGGGACTGCTTGAAGAAGGGAGGAAATAACCCTTAGGAGAGAATCCTGTGTCTTATTCAAAATTCATTCTTTGCCTTTGAACCTTTGGAAGACTATAAAGAATATAATTTTACTTTCTAAAAAGCTTCAGTAGAAAAAAAATGTAACCCTTCAAAGAAAGTGACCTGAAAAGGAAATTTATTTCATTAGTTCCTCTTTTATAGCTATTTTTTTTTAAAAAAATCATTATTTCTCAGATAAACCTGTCAAGACCAATGTGGCTTTCTTTTGGTATCTGTTGTTTCAGATCAAATTTGGCCTTTCAGGCTGCCATTGACTTTGTATAGTGTTGGGTAAGTCTCTCATGTGTACTAGACAAAGTCTCTGACTTTAATAAACACTTAGAAAACAAGGCAGGCACCACTGCCAATTCTGTCATTGCTGGTCTATCATAAAATCAACCAGCCTCAGAGAGATTAATACTGAATGACCCTTTTGAGCTTTTCCAAGATGTCAAATGCAAGCACAGAGGGAGAGGTATGGAATTTTCCTTCTGTCAAAGATTGATCATCTTGTAGCAGAACAAGTGGATTTGCTGGCCAACACATTTTCTTGAGTGGAATGTGGATTTACTTTTGTAAAACATTTTACTTTTCTATCTGATGAGGGAAAAATAAAAGTTAATATTAGCTGATATCTACATAGAACCTTTAACTATCACAAAACCTCTCTTCCCAACACTATGAGGTATCTAATAGAGAATGAATAAATGAATGAATAAAAAATATTTTTTTAAGTTTTTACCATATGCAAAGCATTGTGCTGTCAGGGATAATAGTCCCCCATCAATAGATAGAAAAAATAGTCCCTGCTCTTAAAAATTACACTCAATAGGAGGAGATGGGAATGATAATTATGTGAGTAGACCTGTGTGTTTGGAACATTAAGTTAAAAATCAGTGATACAGGGGCAGCTAGGTTGTGCAGTGGATAGAGCACCGGCCCTGAAGTCAGGAGGACCTGAGTTCAAATCTGACCTCAGACCAAACACTTGACACTTCTAGCTGCAAGTCACTTAACCCCAATTGCTTAAAAGCAAAAAAAAAAATCAGTGATACATAAGATTTTATAAGTACAGTGTAGCCAAATTATAGAGGACCTGGGCAAGTCACTCACCCTCTCCTGGCCTCAGTTTCTTCATCTCTAAAAGGTTGTTATTTAAGATCCTTTCCAGACCTAATAGTCTTGGAGTCCAAGCCAGGTAAGACGCCATGGGGGAAAATAGAAGCTTGCATGAGAACCAGTATGCGATACTCAGGACAGATTGTTGTTGTCATTTCAGTCATGTCCAACTCTCTGTGACCCCATTTGGGGCAAAGATACTAGAGTGGTTTGCCATTTATTTCTCCAGCTCATTTTGAAGATCAGGAAACTGAGGCAAACAGGGTTAAATGATTTGCCCAGGGTCACACAGCTGCTAAGTCTGAGGCAGGATTTGAACTCAAGTCCTCCTGACACCAGTTCTTGCACTTTATCCACTGAGCCACCTAGCTGCAGGATGAATGAGAGAAATACAAACCAAAATGAAGAAGACTTGTAAGAAGACGCAGTAATCCAAGTACAAGGCGATGAAAGCTTGAGCTCGTTGAATACAGCATGGAAAGTCCTTCACAGTCTGGCCCAGGCTCACTTCCCCAAGCACATAGCACATTACTGCCGCTTACACACTCAGCCAAACTGGCCGGTGTGCTGGACCTCCACACAGCACAGTCCATCTCTATTCTTTTGAATAATCTGTCCCCCAAGCTTAGAATGCACTCACGGGATCTGATTTAGAGCGGGAAGGGCCCTGAAAAACCATCTAGTCCAACCCTTTCATTTTACAAATGAGGAAATTAAGAGACTTGTCCAAGGTAACACAGATAGTGATTAACAGAGATGGGATTTTAACCCCTCTCCGTAGGCTCCTTCCCTTCTATTTTAATGCTCTAGCTAGAAAAAAAAAAAACTTCAATTAATGATCTGCCCCTTTCTAAGCTACTACCTAACCTCTCTCCTTTTTGCCTGATGAATCTCTGAATCATATGGTTCCTGTCAGAACTTTTCTTAGGGTACAGCAAATTAGCTTTGGATGCTGTTCCCCCTGCTTTGAACAGGTGGGCAAAGAGCAGAAAGGAAAAAAGAGTTGGCTCCATTAACTGGTGCAAAAAAAAAACAACCCAAACTTCAGATAGATAGATATAAATATAGATGAAAAATCATCCAATAAACAAGCAGAGTGCTTGGTCTGCCCTATTTCCCATCCCCACACACTCTTCAGGGTGCATGGTTTTCTCCACTTTAGGACTCATCTTGATGTTCATTTTTAACCTGATTTCATCTATATATGCTTGAAGGGACATAATGATATAGTATAGTAGTGTTAAACTCGGGTACAAAAGGGGACCACTAAACCACATTATAAGGATCCCTGCATATCACATTAACCTAGAAAACCACATAGTAATATTATCTATGTTTTATTGTATTTTTACTTATTTTAATAAATATTTCCCAGTCACATTTTAATCTGATTTTTATCCACACTCATGAGTGTTATGGGCCATCTATGTGGCCCCTAGGCTGCATGGTTGACACCTCTGATATAGTGGATAGAACTGGCTTCCAAGCCAGGAACACCTCTGATACATACTGGCCAGGTCATATAGAACCCTAGGTAAGTCACTTAGTTTCTCAGTACTCTAGACAACTCTGTAAGTCTGCAAGTTGCAAAAAAGGTGCCAGCATTGGTAGATCAAATTTCCTCATCTGCAACTTCCCTTTAACCATAGGTCCAATCCTCATTTCTATCCCTATGCTTAGGAGGAGAGATCCAGTATTATGAGCCCTGTTCTCCCCCTTGAACTAGCCTTTCTCTATTGGCATCTATAAAACCCTAAATCCATGTCTATTTTATTTCTAACCCTAATTCTATTTCTAACTCTAACTCTCACTAGATAGGCTTTGAATTTCCTTCCAGGTCTAGAGCGATGATTTATAATCATATAACATCCAGATACTCCTTCTCACTGCATTCTTATCCCTAGTACCACCAATGTACTAAAATTGCCCTGTTGAAGATTATCAGTATAAACTCAGGAGGAGTAAGGATAAAAAGGTTTAGTCTATCATTTCAATGGTAGTTACTTGTACTGCATTAATAGTCAACAATGGAATAATCATCAACAATTCAGCTTTTTTACAGATAATAGACTTGGCTACACTGGCTTTTTTACTTCTATTTATTCTGTCTCTTTTCTGTCTTTTTTTTTAACCTTAATGAAAAAGCATTTATTAGAGTAATCTAATAATAAGGTTTCTTTTTTAAATAGCTTATTATTTTCATTTTTCAAATAATTTTTAATTGATATGTTTGCCTATTTCTTTCCCCTCGTTGAACAAATTAAAAAAAAAACTTTGAAAAACAAATCCTTCAGTACATAGCTCAGCAAAAGTAATTCCCACATTAACTATGTCCAAAAATGTATGTCTCCCTCTGCACCTTAAATTCATCACCTCTCCATTGTAAGGTAAGTGACATGTTACATTTGCAATTTTTTGGACTCTTGGTTTATCATTTTGTTGATCAGAGTTCTAAAGTCTTTCAAAGCTGTTTTTTTTCCTATAATACTGGCCCTATATAAATTGTTCACCTAGTTCTGCTCACTTCACTCTGAATCAGCTCACAAATATCTTCCCAGTTTCCTCTGAGTTTCTCCATTTTGTTATTTATTACGGTGTAATAATAAAATTCACAGTAGAGCATTCCCTCTAAAACAGGCTGTACTCTCCCACCAACATACATACCATTAATTGGAAAAGCAGACAAGTCTAGATCTGTGTATAATAACTTTCCACTCAGAAAATACATAAAGAGGGACAACTTATACATCCAGCATCACAGGACCCCTGATGTTAACTCAAGATGTCCTTGTGTTACTATTCAGTGAGTGTGATATTGGGATTGGATGTTTGGCTCTGCCCCTTGGGTCTAGTCTCGACTTCCTCCAGCTCTTAACTAAGCTGAAGACTGGACTAGGAGACTGGAAAATCTTTCAGGGAGATTCAGAATCCTTGCCTACGGCCACTGAGGACACTTCCCCATAGTGAGAGCCTCAGCAACATCCCCACTCCAAGAACAAGCTTTCTCTTTTCCAAAAACCTCTCACAGAAGGTTGAGGTCGATTTTCCTCTTTTCCATCCACCTCTTTTTCCATCATCTCATCTTTTTCCGTCCAGTCAACAGCTGAGGATTTCCCACTGGATGCTAAGCACTATTCTACCTTTGCTCTTATTCTTGTACACCTCTACATTGTTCATCTAGCTCTAGCTATGCTTTGGTGATTAAGGCCTGATGCTTCCTAACACTTCCTAATAGTGCTCCAGAGGTATTTACCAGAAGTAATCATTCCACTTTGCTCTGCATTGGTCAGAGGCATGTCTGGACTGTGGTGTTCAGTTGAGAGTGCCACATTTTAAGGCGACTGTTGACAAATCATAGTATGTCAGAGGTCAGGAAAAATGGTGAAAAACCTGTAAACTCTGTGTTATGAAAAGTTGAAGGAGCTGAGGGTATTTAACCTGCAGAACAGAAGACTGAGGTAAGATGTAGAATCAGAGAAGTATAGAATTTTAGGGCTTAGAATCCTGGCATCTCATTTTATATATGAAGAAATTAGAGCCCACAGAGATTAAATGACAGATACTTAGTAACAGGGCTGGCATTAACTAGGCATCTCCTGAGGATTTCTACTCCATGTGACCTTTCTATCCTGACATATTGTCCATCTTCAAAAAGTTAGAAGGTTGTCATATGAAAGAGGAAACAGGCTTTTCAGAGGGCAAAACTAGCACCAATTTCAACTTAATATAAAGGAAGAACTTTCTAACAGTTGGAACTAT